TAACATGCAAACATGTAAAGTTTACCCAAACTAATTAAAAAGGTTGAGAATGTGACTTATGCACTAATATGAACTTAGACATCCTAAGACAAAAGTGGTATTGATGGTAAATCTTTTTATCACTTGCTCCATTTTTGGAGTTCTCGTTAAAAAAATGACTCTTATTGAAAATGGCCCCCACATCTTTCCGTCATTATCCTAACGCTCAAAAGAGGCGCAATCAACAGTTCAACACATCTTCTCTGGCTGTCACGAATTGATGAACTAATTTCAATTACAATATTTTTAAAGAAAGAAATTACCTCGTAACCTGGTTCTGTGATGAGAACCTCATTCCTAATCCTTATCCCCATTCCTCCATACCTGCATTACACATCCTCCAAAATTCATTATATCAGCATGAAACTAAAACATTTAAGCAACTAATATTTTTCATATTATAGGAAATAATTTTATCTCTTACATACATATAAAAGTGTGTAGAACCCATATGAAGTCATATGAGAAGAAGAGAAAAAAAAAAGGGAGATAAACCCTAAATAATACAAGAAATACATAGTCAATTGTATGAAAACTTAAGTTTTGTAGTAAAAAAGCATGAAAGCTGGATTTTGAGCTAACATAATGTGATCTTGCTTATTTTGAAGGTGAATTGATATGAAATTGTGCAAATATGAAGGGACTTAGAAAGATGAAAGAAGATCAAAAGAAGTCAAGTTGAAACAATTCACAAGCAAGTTAAAAGTTGGTGGAGCGCGCTTTAGCATCTTAAAGTGCTCTAGCATTCAGAAATGTCCCTTCGACGAGCGCGCTAAAGCGCGCTCAGGCAAAAAAACCTAGGTAATTTAGCACTAAGCGCTCTCTGCGATTCAAATTCAGGCCTAAATTTCTGAATCACTTAGGGCACGAACCAATTGCCTATAAAAAGGGGGTTTTGCGCATTGATAAAGGAGCTTTTGACAATTTGGAAGGGAGAATCCTACTTTGGTTGCAAAATAAATCCTTTTTTTTCATAAAGGGATTTGCGATAGAGAGCGCATCTTTCTTGTTTTGGGGCATTGTGAGCGAGTTAAATTCACGAATGCACTAGGAACTCTAAAGATTCACAAAGCCATGATACCAATGGAGTTTGGGGATTCTTTATTGTTTTCATGTGTTTTTGAATTCGCTATGCTAGGTTAGATTTCTATGTAATTACGGATAGATGGAATCCAATTGAGTTTTTATGTTTATGAATTAAATTGTCGCTAAAATTCTCTTTTTATATTTGAATGAATTTATTTGTTTTCAATGCTTTCTATGAGTTTGCTTCTTATAGAATGATCTAGGAAAATTGCATTACAATAGGAATGTTGGTGTATGAATCCGAAATTGATAAATTCATCATCATCCTTGTGATCTAGGGATATACATAGGATAATTGTGCAATCTTTAGATTTTTGATCTTACTGCGTGTTTTCTTGAGGAATAACCAGGGAACTAGGGTTCTTTCAAGATAACATAGAATTAGGGTTACAATGGATTGAGCCATAATTAATTTAGAAAAAATTGATTGACAATATATTAAGAGCGATTTCTTAAGTGCTTAATTCATAATATAAAGAGAAATTTAGAAAGAAAGAATCATGCTTGCTTTTCAATTCTTAATTCGTATGCTTTTGATCAATCTTAGTCTTTAATTCAACGTTTCTTGTATTGGTCTGTCCAAATAAAGCACAAATAATGAACTAATGATTGAAATCTAATTTTCGTGGAAATGATCTCGTACTCAAGTATACTTTTATTATTTTTATTACTATTGCACTTGCCGAAGTCGTAACAATGAGCCTATATATATACACATTTATATGTATATAAGAGATAAAATTATCTCCTATAACATGAGAAATATCAATCCTAACATTTAATGCCAATATTGAAAACAATGATGTAAGGGAAGTTATGGACAGTGAATGACTTAAAAGAAATAATACAGTCATGCATGCCCAAGCGTACAACTTGTAGCACCACTAGGGATAGGTTAGTGGTGTTGGGTGTGTTTAGAGTGTATTAGATGTGCGGTTCGATTCCCTGTAATGTCCAAAAAAAAACGTACAACTTGTACAATTGAAGAAATAATATTTTTTAGGAAAAAAGTGTTTGTCCTTTTAAATGACATAACTTATATTATTTCATTCTAACAAAAAAGTGAGATCCGTAATTTTTTTTTTTGTCTACTCTCTCTCATGATCTATCTTTTTTCTCACTTAAAATGACACAACTTTACATCAAAATAACACATATTTTTCTCTATTTTCTGACTCTTATCTCTTACAGAAAATATCTCTAATGTGAACGAATATATTATGAAAAAAAAAATTGTTATCCAAAAAAAAACATGTGAAAAAAATTTATCCAAAAAAAAAATGTCAATTTATGTTGATGCATCTTAATTGATACAGATAAATACATTTCAAGATAAGATTGATCACTCTATCATCGTCACGAATACTCTTAAGGTTCCACTATTTCATTCATAACATTATTAGATTTTTTTTTTGGATAAACAACATTATTAGATTTTAAAGGTGCTGCCAGATCCTTAGTTATAGTAAGATTCTTAATTATCTGAGCATTAATTATTACTATATATTTTATCATGACAATAAAAACACTCTGTGTTAAAGAAAGATGCTGACTAGGTGATATGTGTTATACCAGGATCTGTGGACCAAGAGGCAGATACATAATTAAAAGGAATGCTAATGATACGACGATGAATAAGTACTCAATACTATAGCAAGGAGAAAATTGGGGTGGAAAAATCCCTCTAAACTATTTGCATTTGCACAGTGATTAAGAGTTAAAAATACGTTTTAACTGGTTTACCAAAAAAAAAAAATACATTTTAACTGCCACTAAATTCAATAACTTTTGTAGTGATATAATTTACAGATAATATAAATTCTAAATAAATTTTAATTAGATGCAAAATCTTAACAAAATATAAATTTATTTATTAGATATTTTATCAAATTAAAAATTCTTAAAATAATAAGGAAATATATCGATTATTCTAAATACTCTAATTGGTATCACATCCATATATTAAAATTATATAAAATAATCTTAATTTATTTTGTATCATTTTGAAATTAAAACCCCTAAATAAAATAACAAAATTAATACCCCTAAATAAAATAACAAAATTAATACCCCACATCAAATTTCATCATTTGCCTTTTTGTCCAATTTAGATAGATTAAAATATTGAAACAAATATTTGACTCCAAATTGATAAGTACGTACACGTTAGTAGCTCCCAACTACACTCTTGCTATAAATTCCTTGTAAATTGGAGTGTTTATTTAAACTAATGGTTACTTACATATTTTACATAAGTTGATAGGTAAGTTTTGATTTGAGTAATTTTTTTTTATGTTAATTTAACTATTTGGACCAGTGCTATTAAATCTGACCCGAGCATCGACCCGATCGAGGTAGGTCATTGAGTTATTGGTCGAACTGGTTGATTCAGATATATATATATAGATATATAGATATATAAATATATATATATATATGAACATATAAATTCAATTATATTCTTCATATCTAAAACAAATTAAACAAGGTTAATTAAATAAGCTCAAAAACATGAAGCATAAATAAATAAAAATACACGCTATTACTATGTCAATTTAAATTGCAACTCAGAATTCCCATAAACATACCTCTAAATGATATTGAACTCATATTTTTCAAATTCAACTACATTAAAATGATATATGTCACATTCTCTTAATTTATTATTCTGCAAATTACTTCAATATTGGAAACTGAAATTTGGGATCATTGTAGAAGAGTATACTAGCAAATAAAATTACAAAAAGTTTTTAAAATGAGTTCTATATTTTTTTTGACAAGATGAAACAATTTTGGTTTTTTGATTTTTTTTTTTGTTCAAATACATGACCCGACCAGATCACCGGTTTTGTCCGGGTTTTGAGCGAGTTTGACCAAGTCAATGCATGACCAGTCTAATGCCTGACCTGAACTGCCGACAGTCACCTTGTCCTCAGAGTACGACACAATTGAGTTTCGCTACTTGAGGAAGGATGAAACTAATTCCCCTTCGAGGAGAGAGACATGTTCTCGGACTCTCAAAGATTTTTCAAGAATTTATTTAAGATAGAGTTTGAACTCCCGACCCAAGCAAACCTTTGAAAACTCCGTTGCCAATTCACCTACCATGGGATTTTTTGGGTAAACAGTTGACATCAATTTGATTGCTAGGAGATGCACAAGAAAAAATTTAATTTTGTGGATATCTTCATTTCTTAGCGGTACCGGCATATTTTTTTATTTTTATTTTTTGGGTAAACAGCGGTACCCGCATTTAAATATTGAACATTGTAATTACTTTTATATAATTTTATATGAATTGTTTTTTTTTTTTTTGGAAACAAAAAAAATAAAAATTTATGGATGTTTGAATTAACATTTTATATGAATTAAATTTGTTTTGAAGGATTTATGGATTTTTTATTTTTTTAATTAATTAATCTCAATACTAATATTCAAATAATTTAAAATTTATATTAATTATTTTAGTCATGTATAAATGGCATTTAAATTTAGAGTTTTACTATTCAGTTCTCAAGTATTCATGAAATTAACACGTAATTGGTAAGGTTTCATCCAACCTGAGTGCTTGGTAAACACCCAAAAATTAAACCCCGAGATGCGTAATTTTTTATTTATTTTTTTACTTTTTTTTGGGGAATGATTACCATATATACATTAATTATACTTTATTATTAATACAAAACTAGTGTTTCTAATAAAATTATAACCACACACATGATACATGTTCATACACACCTAAAATTCATTATTCATAAATTTAAGTACATGGCTAACAGCCCTTCACTTGCTAGAATAATCTAGCTCAACACATCACACAATTCAAAGATAAATTACAACATTAATAATTACTTTAAGCACAAAACATTTAGAACTTATATTAAAATGAAAAGAGTTATTGGTTTAAGATGTAGTGGTACTTTCTTTGAGACAACGAGACCAAAGATCTCGTTCATATCTATATCGTGTGTAGGTGTGTCCATCTCAGGCAACTTCCAATCGAACCAATAAAGAAGGTTGGCAAGCATATACTCAACAGAAGAAAGTCCAAAATTCACTCCAGGGCATCCCCTTCTCCCAAAACCGAATGGAATAAATTGAAAGTCTTGACCTTTAAAATCAACTTGGCTATTTTCAAATCTCTCAGGCAGAAACTCTTCAGGGCTTTCCCAAAATTTAGGGTCCCTTTGAATTGCCCATGCATTGATATATACCATTGTTTTTGCAGGAATATCATATCCTTTCAGTTTCACACCAAATATTGTTTCTCGAGGAGCCAAAAGAGTAGCAGGTGGATGTAACCTTAGGGTCTCTTTGACCACACACTTTAGGTAGTGCATTTGATTGATGTCATTTTCTTCTACTTTTGATTTATGACCTACAACTCTTCTCACTTCTTCCTGTGCTTTCTTCATTACGATTGGATTTCTCATAAGCTCTGAAAAAGCCCATTCTAATGTTGCTGAAGTTGTGTCATTTCCTCCCACAAACATGTCCTGAAATTACACAAAAAAGAATTTTTTTTATGAAATTCGTTAACGATTGATCTATTGATTAAGGAATAAAATAAAATTGTGAAATAAAAAACTCATAAGTATTTAATAATTTAGCAGCAACTAAAAAAATACTTAAAAAGAGACCAATAAAAGTGCTTTGATGTCATTTTTGGTGAGCTCAAAGTTAAGCATGTTATCCTGTTGAAGTTTGAGGAGTATATCCACGAAGTCTTTCTTTTTGGAGTGGTCACCTTCTGTCTTCAATGTCAAATGCTCAGCAATTACCTCATCAAATAAAGCATCCAATTCTCCAAAAGTGGCCTTGAATTCCTGAATTTTTCCACTTAGAACATCAACCCAACCCAACAAAGGGAAGTAATCTCTGACAGTGAAAGCTGCAAGGTGAACCATAACATTCCTTGCTAACTCTTTGACTCTGCTATAACCATCCCCTGCATACTTCTGTCCAAAAGCGCATTTACAAGCGATGTTGTTTGATGTTGAAATTAGCATCTCGCTTAGATTCACATAGCATGCATCACTCGAGCTTGCTTCACGTAGCTTATACACCAATTCTGCAATTTCTTCTTCTCTGATGAGACCAAATGATTGCACTCTTTTCATGCTCAGAATTTCAAGGACACATATTTTCCTTTTTTGCCTCCACTTTTCTCCATAGAGTTCAAAAGTAATGTCTGTAGATCCATACAACAAGATTTTTGCAGCTGTGTTTTGGGGTCGGTTCGAAAAAGCTAGGTCATGATTTTTCATAATTTCCATGACCACCTCCGCAGATGAAATCACCAAAGTTGGAGTCTTCATCTGCCCTAACTGAAGCATCATCATATCACCATATTTGAGTGAGAGATCACGCAGAGAGCGGTGTGGCAGTGTGCCTAATTGATGAAGATTTCCGATGACCGGAAGTTTTGGTGGAGATGGAGTCACATTTAGATTGGTTTTGGATTTGGTTCTTCTTATTAATTTAAACACAAACAGGAAGCTGATAAACAAGAAAAGAGATATGTGAAAGGTAGAAAAGAACACTCCCATCCTTTGCTCATACGGCCATTGTTTGATAAAAGCCATTGTTTTTTTGGGTTTTATAAGAGTTATGTTGTAGGAAAAGTGATTGTAATAGAGATTCGTTTTGCGTGCCTTAATTTTTTATTTATTTTTTTGTTTTAAAAAGTGTGGGCCCCACAAAATGTTGTGAGTGTAGGAAAATTTGTTGTGTTACGTTAAAGGATAAAACGAAAACCATTGTTATTTCCATCCACATCCGTCAGTGACAGAGTCCACAGAGCATATATACGTAAAATGTAGCTGTCGCCGTTATTGTTTTACTCTTTAATTATCTGTTATCCATGCATAATTATTTGTGAGGAAAAGAAAGAGTGTAGCTAGTTTAAGTGGGGACAACACTCGTGGAGGTATATACTTTTATGTAAAAAAAAAAAAAAAATACTAGACGTTTACTTAATTTGATTGTATATCGAGTAGGGAAAAGGTTTTAACCGCAGCGTTAGGTAGAGTAGAAATATTTTTTATTGAAAAATAATAACTATTGAAATAATAGGAAAAAAATTTACTAAAAATATTTAGTAGGTTAAATTTTTTTTAGGAATATTGAGTTAATTTTATTGATGTTATGTGTTAAATTTTCTTTCACATGAAAAAAATAATTTCACCCTTCAATGATAACCTTCCTCATTCATTTTACATAGAAAAACAAATGATAAAAAAAAAAATTGCAACCATATTTTTACTTCACCTCCTATTAAACATGGACAGATAATTTTTTTCACCCTGAAAAAAATTATTTTCATCTCCTATCAAACACCCCATAATAGAGTGTGACCCAACTACCAACAGGCTACAGCGATTGGTCGTGGCTGCATCTGAATGTCTTCGTTCATGAAAGGAACTCGTTCTTAAATTTTTTGTCTTTTCCAGGTCCGGCTTCTTCCAAACTTTCATATCGTAGGTACTTATCAACCCTTTAATAGGGGTGTTTATTAAATGGGTTTCACGTGTGCTCGCGGGTTTTGAAGAAAAAATTATTCAATTTAATTTTTTTGATTTAATCATCCAATCAATTTGAATTTCATTTAAAATTTGATTCAATTCAGTCCAATTTTATTCGATTTGGATTTGATCGATTTTTTATTTTTCAAAAAATCTAAAATTTTAGTCATACAAATCACTAACTATATCAAAATAGCCAGTTACAATATCAACATCAACATCACCTTTATCCCAAATTAATTGGGGTCGGTGGTAGATGAACCCACATGAAAGATACAAAACAGTTGAAAAAAATAAAAAAATAAAATAAAATAAAATAAAATATATATATATATATATATATATATATATATTTGTATATACAAATAAAATAAAATAAAAGTAAAAAAGAAAGGGACAAGAAGAAGTGGGGGAGATGAAGGGGAAAAAGACTAAAAAAGGACCATCTGGAACATAGGAATAACAACGGGTTTAACCCTCCACCATATTTATAGCTTTTCTCCATTCCGTTCTAAGACAAACTGTCCGCCAATCTATTCCCACTCCATTAAATCTTGTTTTACCACCTTCCCCCAAGTAAGTTTCGGCCTACCTCTGTCTCTTTTTGTGTTGAGCTCTTGGTAACAAACTTCTGTTCTTACAGGAACATCCAGGGGCCTTCTCATCACGTGCCCAAACTACCTCAATCTATGTTCTCTCATCTTCTCGGCTACTGGTACTACTCCGACCTTTCGTCGAATATCTTCATTTCTTATATTATCTATCCTTGTGTAACCACACATCCACCTTAACATCCTCAGCTCTGCGACTCCCATCTTATGCTCATGTTGCCTATGTGCTGGCCAGCATTCCGCGCCATATAGCATTGCCGGTCTTACTGCCGTTTTATAGAATTTTCCTTTTAACTTAAGAAGGATGTTGCGGTCACACAAAAACCCAAATGCACTGTGCCATTTCATCCACCCTGCTCTGATTCTGTGATTTACATTCTCATCAATCTCTCCACCTTTTTGTAATATGGAGTCCAAGTATTTAAAAATATCTTTTTTGGGTACCTCTTGACCACTTAAATGCACGGGTTCTTGGTCCCCATTTCGTACCAGAGAAAACTCACACTTCAGATACTCAGTCTTGCTTCGACTTAATGTGAATCCTTTGGATTCCAATGTGCTTCTCCACAATTCAAGTTTTCTATTAACCCCCTCCTTGCTCACATCAATAAGCACAATATCGTCTGCAAAAAGCATACACCATGGCACTTCCTCTTGAATATCTTTTGTTTGTTCATCCATAACTAAGGCAAAGAGATAAGGACTTAGAACCGACCCTTGGTGTACACCTACTGCGATAGGAAAATAACTCGATGTTCCGTTACAAGCTTTTACACATGTAGTATCTCCATCATACATATCCTAGATGCCTTTACATACTTTGATGGAACCTTTTTCTTCTCCAAAACCCACCATAAAACATTCCTTGGAACCCTATCGTATGCTTTCTCAAGGCCTATGAACACCATATGCAAGTCCTTTTTTTTTGGTAAATTATGCAAGTCCTTTTTCTTCTCCAAAATAAAGCCAGTTACAAATCATTGAAAAATTCAAGTCTTCGAACTAAAATAAGTCTTAAAATTCATGAAGAGTTAAAAAATATCAATAGACAATGAAAACTAAAACAAGATAGTCTGCTATGAATAATATCCAAGATTCTAAATCTACAAAACAACAAGATTTCAAGTCACCATCTTTCAAAAATAATAAATAGATAATACATTGAATCGATTTGTATTAGATCGATTTTCACCAATCTAACCGAAAACCGATCTAATCCAATTAAAATATGTAAAAAAATTGGATTTCGAATAATTCAGTTATCGATTTTTCGATTCGATTATCGCGGTTTGAATCAGTTTGGATCAGTTGATAAATACCCCTAATGGGTTTGGAAGGGCTTATATAACTTATATCAGGCCTACTTTAATCGGGTAAATTTATACGATCAAATCGGATGGATGGGCTCAGAGGCTATTTCCTTGCCTTTATCTAAAAAAACAATCATAACATAGGTGAGCTACAATACAACCTACTGAGAGAAAAAAATATATAACAAGCAAGACTTGGTAGCATATAAAAATAACGTCAATGATAGCATCAAATAATAAAGCTTTCAATAGTATAGTAGATTTAAAATAATTCTATACTTTACCAAAATAATATATTCAAGTGGGTATGCATGACAGAGAATTAAGGTATAAATATCATGCTTTCCACCTGAAAATATAACTATAACAATGCAGGCTCCCTGCCTGTAAATAAATTATGATACACCAAGGCTAATGTTGTGCTTTGTAAGAACCCGCACCATTAATTAAAGAAATTAATTAATTATATATGAGACTTAAATAATTATAGAAAATGGTTAATAATGCTGAAAGTCGTTTTTCGGACGAAAAGCGCAGATACCAGTTCTGCTAGTCGGTATAAATGCGTACCAAAAAAGTATCCCGGAAAATTTTAATAAGTGCATGAATATTACTAGAATAATATATAGGACTTGTAAAACGAGTTTTAAGTTAAAATAATGAGAACTGGTGCCAGAAACTGGTACTGGCTATGGAAAGCGCGTACCGGAAAGGTGCTGCGAAAAGTATGAGAAAAATATGATAATTCTTGTAAAATTGAGTAAGTTAAGAATCCTGAGTTTGGGAATAAAAAGCTAAGCGTAACAATTAAAATTAATACTGTGTGTTTAAGTTGTAAACCGCTATAAATACCCTTGCTTGGCCCAAAACCCTAAGCAAATCAGTTTTCCTACGTGACTCCTTGGGTGGCTGAGTGTTTGGCACTCTTTCATTTCCATTCTTCATCATTTTGGGACCAACCTACCCCTTTTCTCTTGATTTTCTTTCTCTTTTTCCTTGTAAACACTTGTGTGTAGCATTGGGAGGGTGTTGAGAGGTTTGTTTATGAGTTAGAGGGTCAGTTTGGGAGGTTAAGGTGATGAGTTTTCTGAGTTGTGAGGTTGAAGCCTTTGTCTTGAGTGTGGAGGCTCCAAGAAGCTTTCTTTGAAGAGAAAGATGCCTCCTTGTAGTGCATTTTGGTGGCCCTTTGGTTGCTGCTCTGTGGAGTGGTATTGGAAGCTTTTTTTCACTGTCATTCTCTGTTTTGAGAAGCTTGGTAAACATACTCAACCTTTGTTCATGAGTTTAATGCTTAAATATGGAACCTTGATGCATGTAATGGATTAAAGTTGATAACTTAACGTTGGGTATTGTTAAACACACCTCAAATCGCATGTTTAAGCTTCTGGATGCATGAAATGAGCCATCTTTGGGAAGGATATCTCGCGAAATGCAGAACTGCATTCTGTCGCGAAATATCCGGATATGCATATCCGGATATGATATCCAGATATGGGGATCTGAATATCCGGATATGGGGATCTGAATATTCGGATATGGATATCCAGATATTGGCAGATAGATATCCGGATATTGATATCCGGATATGCCCCCGACAAATATCCGGATATTCTGGGTTTGCCAGGAACAGTAGTTGTATTGTTCATACAGTAGGCTATTGGGGGTTTGTGGATCCTAGATTGATGAAGTTGAACCACTGTAATAATCGAACTAAGTCAGAATCAATGGATTAAGGGCTTATGGCTTGGTGAGAAGTCTTAAGACGTAAAACGTAAGAAATGCGTTATCTTTATGATGTATGCTTGTAGTGCATGCTTATTGATTTATTATTGGTCCATATCAGATTGTGATTCTGCTGTGAATGGACTTTGAGGATTGGTTGGACTCTTAGCTTGGAGTTTTAGCTTGCAAGGTAAGCTTTCGTGTCCTCGGTTTAGCCATGTTGTGGTTCCACCATGTCCCATGGGGGTATGGTTATATGCATGTTGTGTTACATGCTTTGGATATTTGAACTGTTGTTGAGCTTTATGTGTAATGACTTTTAATATGCATGTGTTGTTCAACCTTGACGGTAAGCCTGAGTATGTGGCGTCATACAATACGGTGATCCGGGGTGGATGCAAGTGGCGTCTTGCACTAT